TGGGGCCAAGCCCGGACAACATATTACAGCAAATAAAACCAGAACATAAACAACAACCAACAACATCAAAGTTACATAAAGGAAAGGGAAAAAAATATAAACACAGTCATAAAATAACATTCCATTACACACAATCACAGGGTTGTTTTTTATAGGTCTTTAGCCTTTTCTGCTAAAGAGCGATGGTGCCTCCCCAAACTACAAATCCAAGGATTCCATAACATTGAGCCATGGCAGTGGACGTGGTTTCGAACTGCATTAATTCTACAGTGTAGATGCACTCTAAGAGAGTAGGGTTTAAATCCCTACACAGCCATGGATTTTAATAAAATCACTCTCTCTCAGCCTCAGGCTGGAGCTAAACTGACATATGAAATCCAGATTATCTGCTTTGACCTGGATTATAGGGCAGTGTGAATTCCTATAATCCAGTTCAAATGTGGATTATCTGGCAGTGTAGCTCCAACTTCAGACAAAGGCAAACATACCCTCTGAACAAAATTTACTAAGTTGACCACTTTGATTAGCATTTAATGGCCTTGCAGCTTCAAAGCTTGGCTGGTTGCTGCCTGGAGGATCCTTTGTTGGAAGGCGTTGAAGCTGCAAGGCCATTAAATGCTAAACAAGGTGGCGAATTGCAACATTCATACTTGCCTCAAACAGACAAGAGTTCTTTCTCCTATCCTGGACATTCTACAGCGATATGAATCTCACTTGTCTGGTTTTCAACAGACCTCACAACTTCCGAGGATGCCTGCCATAGATGTGGGTGAAATGTCAGGAGAGAATGCATCCAGTACATGACCATACAGCCCGGAAAACTCACAGCAACCCAGTGATTCCGGCCATGAAAGCCTTCAACAACACATTAAAATTTACTAAGGCTGGATCTACATTGCTATATAATCCAGATTATCAATGCAGAAACCCTGGAAATTCTTAGGAGACTCTTAAAGCTGTTCTCCCCTGGGAATTCTTAAAGGTTGAAGCTTTTGTACAGGGGACGTTTACACACGTCCTGTACATTGGTTTACCTAGCTGAGACTAACTAAAAAATGGCTTCCTTCCCTTCCCAATTGCCCTGAGCAAGGGGCGGGACCAAACTTAATGATGATGGACAGGTGGCTTGCCCTATAACTGCAACCAAAAGAAGCCACCTATCTGCAGAGTCCCTGAAACCTAGGACTGCAAACAAAAATTTAATGTAAAGCAAACAAAATTGGAGCTCCTGGTACAGCTGTACCAGAACAGTAATATTATATGTAATATGAAATATAAAATTATTATATTGTATTATTAATATTATATTGTATTACATTATAATATTATCAATATTATATATGTATTGTTGTTCATTCGTTCAGTCGTCTCCGACTCTTCGTGACCTCATGGACCAGCCCACGCCAGAGCTCCCTGTCGGCCGTCACCACCCTCAGCTCCTTCAAGGTCAGTCCAGTCACTTCAAGGATGCCATCCATCCATCTTACCCTTGGTCGGCCCTTCTTCCTTTTGCCTTCCATTTTCCCCAGCATAATTGTCTTCTCCAGGCTTTGCTGTCTCCGTATACAATATATAATTTATTAGCACAGCACAATATTAGTATGATACATTACTATATTGGACTATACCACTACACTGTAATACTATTAGTAATATTACATGTGATATGAAATATAAAGTTATTGTGTTGTATTATTAGTATTATATTGTATCACATTATAATATTATATGTATGTACATGTATTATAAGCACAGCACAATATTAGTATGATCTATAACTATACTGGACCATACCACTATACTGCAAAATTATTATATTGATATAATAATATTATTATATGTCTCTCTTTGTGTTGTCGCACGCTGGGCCTGTGCATCAGGCTGTAGACAGGACATAAATTCTGTGTGCCCAATGGGACGCCGGGGCTGCCTCAGATTAAAGGCCTTTGGATTTCCTTAAAACAGAATCTTTAGATTGCTTAAAGGTTCAACAAAGTTCTTTATTAATGAAAACAAACAGGTACTTTAAGGCTTTCTTAACAGTCTATTGGCTCTTTCAATCTTGTCCACAGGGAACAGGCACTATCTTCATGACTGGTATTTTAACTAATGGGAAAATCCTTAACTTCTAATCTGGGCAGTCTGTCTTTGCCTCTGTTGGCGTGGAGCCACTGCACCCGGTACCAACTGCGTCTGGCTTCCGCGAGTGACCCTTACCAAGCAGAGCTTTGTAGACTTCCAAGGGAAAAGAAGGAGTTCAGGTTTCGGTGATGGCTGGCTGAACTCCCTCAGCAAAGGAGCTGTAAGGCTGTATGATCCTCGGCCAAGCTGTGGGCTGTATAATTTATTTATTTATTTATTTATTTACTTTGCTTATATACCGCTGTTCTCAGCCCGAAGGCGACTCACAGCGGTTTACACACAATAAAAACAGCAATAATTCAATGCACATATAACAATTGACCACTTAACACCTTATCCACTTAATAAACAACAAGCAATTACACTAACAATTATTACAATAACCAGCCCAATCGTCTCATCATCAAAGCGTAGTCCAGGTTCGTCGTCCATTGTTCCATTCCTATGTTCAATTACCAATATTGCACTAGATTACTCGAACGCCTGCACAAACATCCAGGTCTTCAACTTTTTTCGGAATGCCATGAGAGATGGTGCCAGCCTAATGTCCGTAGGAAGGGCGTTCCACAGCCGAGGGGCCACCACCGAGAAGGCCCTATCTCTCGTCCCCGCCAACCGTGCTTGAGAAGCTGGCGGGATCGAGAGCAGGGCCTCCCCGGAAGATCTCAAAGTCCTGGTGGGTTCATAGGCCGAGATGCGGTCAGATAGGTATCTTGGGCCGGAACCGTTTAACCCCGGCCAAGCTGTAGAAGAGGAAGCTTTCTACAGGAGCTCTTGGTATTATGTCCTGCATGGAAAGCTCCTCTGTGTGGACTGACTCAAAAAGGCTCCTATTCCCCCCAAAACTCAAAAAGGGGCAGGACCAGGGAACCTAACTATAATTGACAGGTGGCTTGCCCTATGATTGCAGCCAAAAGAATTATTTATTATTTATTTATTTATTTATTTATTTATTTACTTTGCTTATATACGCTGTATCTCAAGCCCGAAGGCGACTCCCAGCGGTTCACAAACAGTAAAAACAGTAGAAACAGCAGTGGTTCCATACAACATATAACAATTGACTTAACACATTATCCATAAATTACCAATAAGCAATTACAATGCACAATTATTACAAAAAACAACCGTACCCAATCTTCTCATCATCCAAGCGTAGTCCAGGTTCGTCGTCCATTGTTCCACTCCTATGTTCCATTACCAGATTGCACTAAATTACTCAAACGCCTGCACAAACATCCAGGTCTTCACCTTTTTGTGGAATACCATTAGAGATGGTGCTAGTCTAATGTCCGTAGGAAGGGCGTTCCACAGCCGAGGAGCCACCACCAAGAAGGCCCTATCTCTCGTCCCCGCCAGCCGAGCTTGAGAAGCAGGCGGGATCGAGAGCAGGGTCTCCCCGGAAGATCTCAAAGTCCTGGTGGGTTCATAGGCAGAGATGCGATAGGTAGCTTGGGCCGGAACCGTTTAGGGCTTTAAAGGCCAACGCCAGCACTTTGAATTCAGCCCGGTAGCAGATCGGTAGCCAGTGGAGTTGGCGCAACAGGGGGGTTGTATGCTCCCTGCGCTCCGCTCTTGTTAAAATCATGGCTGCCGAGCGTTGGACTAGTTGGAGCTTCCGAGCTGTCTTCAAAGGCAACCCCACGTAGAGAGCGTTGCAGTAGTCTAAACGGGATGTAACCAGAGCGTGGACTACCGTGGCCAAGTCAGACTTCCCAAGGTACGGGCGCAGCTGGCGCACAAGCTTTAGCTGTGCAAATGCTCCCCTGGTCACCGCCAAAACCTGGGGTTCCAGGCTCAGCGATGAGTCCAGGGTCACACCCAAGCTGCGAACCTGCGTCTTCAGGGGGAGTGCGGCCCCATCCAACACAGGCTGTAACCCTATGCCCTGTTCGGCCTTGCGACTGACCAGGAGTACCTCTGTCTTGTCTGGATTCAATTTCAATTTGTTCGCCCTCATCCAGACCGTCACAGCGGCCAGGCACCGGTTCAGGACCTGGACAGCCTCCTTAGTAGCAGGTGGAAAGGAGTGACAGAGTTGGACATCATCCGCGTACAGATGACACCGTACCCCGAAACTCCGGATGATCTCCCCCAGCGGCTTCATGTAGATGTTAAACAACATGGGAGACAATATTGAGCCCTGAGGAACCCCACAAGACAATGGTTGTGGGGTTGAACAGGTGTCCCCCAACAACACCTTCTGAGATCGACCCTCCAGGAATGACCGGAGCCACTGCAAAACAGTACCTCCAAGACCCATCCCTACGAGGCGTCCCAGAAGGATACCGTGGTCGACGGTATTGAAGGCCGCTGAGAGGTCAAGCAGCACCAACAAACATTCAGTGCAAAGCAAACAAAATTGGAGCTCCTGGTGCAGCTGTACCTGCACACACAGCACAATATTAGTATGATCTATAACTATATTGGACTATACCACTATACTGCAAAATTATTATATAATAATATTATTATATGTCTCTATTTCTATTCTATTTTTTAACATTGTTCACAGCTTTGAGTCTGTTTTAAGAGGGAGTAAAGCAACAACAACATGAGAAAAAGGGGAAGGAGAACGCAGTGCTTTCTAAACGAGTCCTCCAGCTTTTTCGGACTTCCACTCCCAGGAGCCTCAGCTATTATGGCCAACAGAGAGGAATTGTGGGAAATGAAGTCCACAAAAAGTCTGAGGTAACAAGCTTTGGAAATCAGTGATACACGTTGCCCTTTTGGTCCCTCCCACTTTGTCCAAGCCCTTCCCTCGTCGCCTAGCAACCCGCTGAGAATGACGGGAAGCGTAGTCCGGTGTCGTTAGACGTAAAACTACAATCGCGTGTGTCTTCCAGGACTGGCGCATGCGCAACGTGGAGAGCGGCCGCCATTTTGGACTGAGTGCCGTTGTTTGGTCGGCCTTCCCTCAGGTTCAGATGGAGAACGCGTCGGTTCTCGCGTGAGCCTCGGGGCGGCCTGAGGAGCCGTTGGGCCCTTCCTGAGGAGGTAAGTTTCATTCTATAGGGAGGGAAAAGGAACGGCTCTGCGTCGCGGTGGCGTTTTGTGGGGGAATGTTTACAAGGAGCGGATTCCTCGGGCTCAAGGCTGCCGAGGCCTGTGGGGCAGGCAGGAGAAGCCTTGCTTGAGTGGTTGAGAATGGCATCTAAAGAGGAGAGGAAGCCACAATCCCGGTTGAGAGTGAAACTCGAGCAGTAGGCCTCAAAAAGCCAAGCTCTAGTGGCGGCAGGTGGGAGGCCTTTGAGAAAAGGGTAGGCTTAAAATAGTATTGCTTATTTTTAGGACCAGGAGGAAAGGATTGCATGGCTATATATATAGAGAGAGGGACATTTCCGAAGTTATGAAAAAGATAGGTTCTGTAATAATCTTATTTTATATCTTATATAAATAAAAATGTAATGTTCGTTTGTGGGATTAACAAAACTCAAAAACCACTGGACGAATTGACACCAAATTTGGACACAAGACACCTAACAACCCAATGTATGTCCTTCACAAAAAAATATTTGATTTTGTCATTTGGGAGTTGTAGTTGCTGGGAGTTATAGTTCACCTACAATCAAAGAGCATTCTGAACCCCACCAAGGATGGAATTGAACCAAACTTGGCACACAGTTCTCCCATGACTAACAGAAAATACTGGAAGGGTTTGGTGGACAGTGTACTTTGGTTTTGGAGTTGTAGTTCACCTACACCCAGAGAGCTCTGTGGACTCAAACAATGATGGATCTGGGCCAAACTCTACACGAATACTCAATATGCCCAAATGTGAACACTGGTGGAGTTTGGGGAAAATAGAATCTTGACATCTGGGAGTTGTAGTTGCTGGGATTTATAGTTCACCTACAATCAAAAGAGCATTCTAAACTCCACCAATAATAGAATTGGGCCAAACCTCCCACACAGAACCCCCATGTGGGCCACAGCAACGCGTGGCAGGGGACGACTAGTAATAATAATAATCTTTATTTATACCCCACCACCCTCTCCCCAAATGGGACTCAGAGCGGCTTACATGATGCTAAGCCCAACAGTACATTACAACAAGATAAAACCACAACAACAAAATGAACATCACATTTAACTAAATAAAAACATAAGAATACAATAAAACAATACAAAAGAATACAATGCAGAATCAATCCCAAAGGGCGGGCCACATGTGCGAGATAAAATGATAAAATTCAGGATGAGATAGAGATGAAAAAGAAATATTTGTTTGGGAGAAGCTCATAGGAGACGGAGTAGTGGAGACAGGCCTTCACACAGGCCGGGGGCGGGGGGAGTGCAATATGAGGACAAATATGGGAGGAGCAACAGAAGGATTTCTGCGTAGGAACCCACACAATCTCTTCGATCATCTGGAGAGGCCCTGCTGATGCTCCCACCTCCTTTGCAGGCAGATTGGTGGGGACGAGGGAGAGGGCCCTCTTGGTGGTGGCCCCCTAACTCTGGAACTCACTTCCCAAGGACATCAGGCATGTCCCAACTCTGGCAGTCTTTAGGAGGAGCCTGAAAAACTGGTTGTTCCAGTGTGCCTTACCAGAATAAGGAAAATTATCAGCAATATGCTCTCAGAATGCACTTTACTACTGGTTTAGGATTGACTGCGTTCCCTCATCTCTCTTTGAAACCCCTATACAGTTATATTCTACCTTGTTCATGCCCAATGTTTGTTTTTTAAATTTTAATTATTACATTTGGCCCGGCCATAGGTTTTTAAATCTTTGTGTGTTACTGTTTATTGGTTATTATTTATATGTGATTTATATTAATTGTATTGTATTTATTGTTTTTGTTTATTCCTTTTGTTTATTGATGTACTGTTGGGCTTGACCTCATGTAAGCCGCTCCAAGTCCCTTGGGGAGATGGTGGCGGGGTATAAATAAAGTTGTTGTTGTTGTTGTTGTTATTATTATTATATCTGATCACTCTCCAAAGATGCAATGGAAAAGCCAAGTTTTCAGATCCTTCTTGAAGGCTGCTAACCATGGACAGCGAGTGGAGAGGGGAGGCCTGGTCTCTGAGAGGTCCCCTCTATCTTGTGGGGTTCCTCAGGGGGCCATTCTCTCCCCTCTGTTGTTTAACATCTATATGCGACCACTTGCTCAGCTGGTTCGAGGTTTTGGGCTTGAGTGTTATCAGTATGCCGATGACACTCAGCTGGTGCTGAAGATGGAAGGCCGACCGGACTCTATTTCCATCAGTGCCTTGAGGCCGTTACTGGATGGCTGCTTGCCAGCAGGTTGAATCCAGCAAAGACGGAGATCCTATGGCTGGGTGGACCGGGCAGTGGGGACATCCATTTGCCCACCCTGGATGGCGAGGCGTTACGCCCATCATCATTGGTAAAGAGTCTGGGAGTCCTTTTGGACCCTCTGCTGACAATGGAGGCCCAGGTCTCCGCCGTGAGCAGAACCGCCTTCTTTCACCTGCGGCAGGCTAGACGGCTGGCCCCCTACCTGTCCAGGGACGACCTAGCTACGGTGATCCAGGCCACGGTCATCTCAAGACTGGACTACTGTAACGCCCTCTACATTGGCCTCCCTCTGTCGGTGATTCGGAAGCTCAAGTTGGTACAAAACGCAGCTGCTCGGCTTCTTGCGGGAATTCCGATGAGATGCCACATAACACCAATCTTACTACAGCTGCATTGGTTACCAATTGAGCACCGGATCTCTTTCAAAGTGATGGTACTCACCTTTAAGGCCTTGCATGGTCTGGGGCCAATGTATCTGAGGGATCGTCTCACCCCCTACCAACCCCAGAGATCCCTCCGTTCTGAGGACCAAGATCTATTGGAAGTCCCCAGTGTCAAGACCTTGCGTCTAACGGCAACCAGACGCAGAGCCTTCACAGCAGTGGCGCCATCAGTCTGGAATGCTCTGCCACCTGAAGTTCGTGCCCTGCGGGACTTACCAGCTTTCCGCAGGGCATGTAAGACATACCTGTTCCGACAGGCTTTTAATGTTTGATACTGTTGTTTTTAAATTGTTTTAAATTGCTTTTAAACTTTGTTAGATTTTAGCTATTCTTGTAAGCCGCTCCGAGCCCCAGGGGAGTGGCGGCATATAAGTTTAAATAATAAATAAATAAATAAAATACCCACTGTAGGTTTGTTCTTAAGTTGAATTTGAATGCAAGTCGAAATGGGTACATTTTAAAGTGTACCTGTTTTGTGTGTGTGTTCGTGCATGTATACACACACATATATGTAAATGTGTGTGTGTATTAGCTTTGGATAGCATAGGGAAGTTTTAACTCCCCAGTCCATACTCCAGGAAATAAAGCATAACTGCTCACTGGAGGATATTAGAGGCAAAGATTAAGTACTTTGGCCACATAATGAGAAGACAGGAAAGCTTGGAGAAGACAATGATGCTGGGGAGAATTGAAGGAAAAAGGAAGAGGTGCCGACCAAGAGCAAGATGGATGGATGGTATCCTTGAAGTGACTGGCTTGACTTTGAAGGAGCTGGAGGTGGTGATGGCTGATACGGAGCTCTGGTGTGGGCTGGTCCATGAGGTCACGAAGCGACTGAATGAATAAACAACAAGAAACAAACAGGTGTTTGTTTGCTGTCTGTACCCCAGTTCAGAAGTTTTCACCTCCCTGTGATAACTGGATTTTGAAAAAAATGGCTTGTTGTGGAAACAAGGATCTGTAAGAAAGCCTCAGTGGAGACCCCTCCCCCCCCCCCCCATGATAACTGCTCCAGGTGTAAATTTCCCTTCTGAGGGAAAGACCTTTCTCACTTCCTGTTTTCTCACCCCATCAGCATAGTTTGTTCTAACTAGAGCAGTGATTTTTTATCAGTGGGACTGTAAAGTTGTCCTTTTTATCAAGTTCCAATTGACTCTGAGTGCATCTATACCAGGCATAGGTAAACTTTGGCCTTCCAGGTGTTTTGGACTTCAACTCCCACAATTCGGCTGTTAGGAATTGTGGGAGTTGATGTCCAAAACACCTGGACAGCCGAAGTTTGTCCAGGCCTGATCTCTACTGTAGAATTAATGCAGTTTGATGCTACGTTTAACTACCATGGCTCAGTGTTACGGAATCATGAGAACTGTAGTTTTAAAAAGACTTTAGGATAGTGGTTCTCAACCTGTGGGTCCCCAGATGTTTTGGCCTTCAACTCCTAGAAACCCTAACAGCTGGCAAACTGGTATTTCTGAGAGTTGTGGGCCAAAATGCAGGGTGAGAACCACTGTTTTTTAGGCCATGACTCCATAGCACTGAGCCATGACTGATAAAGTGGTGTCAACTGCATTCCTTCCACAGTGTAGATGTTCCCTCTGTTGTTTTAGTAGAGACCTTCCAGCAATATAATTGACTAATTTTACAATGTAATTCAAAGCATGTTTGTTCAGAGGAATTCCCATAGAATTTAGTGTCCTTTATGCTCATAGGTTTATAGCATCAAACATGAAGTGAGTGAAGAGTAGGCAAAAATTGAAGAAAAGCCACTAGTATAAATGTTGTAAACATGCTGTTTTGTTATTTTTTAAGATGCTTCATGCTGCCCGTAGGCCGAGATACTTTGACAATCGGGATGTATCAGCAACCGAATCATCTTCTAAAAGGGTGAAACCATCTGAGGAGCCATATGGTAAATCCTACGAAGGTCTGCAAATACTTCATGAGGAAATACATGTTAAAAAAACACATAGTGGGTTTATTCCATTGTCCCTGTATGATGATGAGGCACAAGAAGAAAAAGAAACTACAGACATCCTATTTAACAAGACATTTTCTGGTAACAAAACAGTGTCATCAAAGCATTTGGAGTCAATGAAGAATACTGAGGTTTCTGGAAATAAATATGGTCTTTCTAACAATACTAGTGCAATTCATAACGGAGAAAACATTGGTTTCAGTGGAAAACATAAGAACAAAGGAGAGACTGAACTGTATAGCACAAGCACAGCATTTATTGGACCCATTTATAAAAATGAAGATGGTCGTCAACATGATAAAAAGAAAAAGCATACTGATAGCAACTGCCAAAAAGTATCAGGAGCTTTGAGCAATGGACATTATAATAAAGAAATGACACCAAAATATGTTCACTCCTGTGATGCACCAAAAATAGAAGATGAGTTGTCCCAATTCTATAGTGAAATTGATCAGCTTGAAAGCAATGACAATTGCTTAGACAGTCATGTACAGGCAACAGTAACAAACTTAAATGAACAACCAGCAGAATGTAATAAATCTATCCAGGTTGTTTGTGCCAGCTCTCGAGAATGGTCCTGTAGGACATCACCGAATTGGGGTGATGGTCAGTGTTTTTATAAAGAGCCAAGTACTTATGCAACAGGCAATGAACCATATCCTTACTATAACCACATTAGTAGCAGAAATAGCAGTGGACAGTGTTGTAATAATGAACGAGATGTATGTGAAACAGAACCATTATGTAATAAGCAAGAAAGTTCTATATTCTGGAATGATTCTGTGCCTCACTTTAAGCCTAGTTGGCAACCAACAGCTCCATTTATAGTACCTTGTGGTCCTTCACCACCTCAGTTTGCCACTCAGTTCAATTTGCAGGAAACAAGTTCTTCACCATTTCATTCACATATTTTCCATTCCTCGAATGTGGGACCATTAAAAAACACCCATATTACCATGAGCAGTTCAACACCTGATCAAAGTAATGAGTTTGTGAATCGTTTTGGTACTCATAATATGCAGACTGCCAGAAATGGATATAATATGTCTGATGGACACGTGGTTAATGGTTTCTGTGAAACCCAAGGAAGTTGGAAAGACTTTAAAATGTGCCAGAATGAAGGATCCAGTATTGTTTCTCAGCAGATTCCTGAGACTAAATTCTGTGAATCACAGAAGCTACTCTTCATTTTAAGAGGTCTTCCAGGCTCAGGGAAGACAACATTGTCCCAGTAAGTAAAATACAATTTTAAGAATAAAACATGTGTGTATTATGTTGTTAGCTCCCTCTTCATAGTTAATCATATAATAAGATTTGATGAAAAGCAATACAAAGCACATGAAAGGTTTTTCACTGGTTAGTCTATAATAGTTGCTAACTGTTAAATTAATATTGATTAATGTTTAATATATTATTACAGTGGATTATGTGTCACAGTTACTACCCTTGACTTACTGTAGACCACCTATACACTATCCTCTGTCAGAACTTTCAGTTTATTCCTAGGAAGAAATGATGTAGCTCTAGACTTTAATTGCATGACAAGGGGTTGGACTGGCTGGTCCATGTGGTCTCTTCTAACTCCATGATTCTATTACTGTGGCTCCCCCCAAAATAGTACTTGAGTGTGTCTATTTATGATATGATCGTTGATTTGTGTGTCAGAGATTAATTCTAGTGTCTTCTGACTGCTGGCAATATTCTCTTTAAAAAGGAGGAATGGTGCTATCTATATCCCTATTCAAGTAAACATTGTTCTTGGAGAATATTTCTCACTTTTTCTACTTTTTGTTAGACAGTTGAAAAATAGGGTAGAAAGTTGAGGAACAGATTAGAATGCTGTTTCTGTTAGACTATTAATGGTGGAACTAATCTAAAGCGGCACATTGGATTTTTGAAATATTTGTCATGGAAGCAAGAATCTTGTGTTTGATTTGCTGATTCTTATTCAAGTTTCACAGTGTATTTTTGTCTTTCTAAATGTCTTTAGTCTTCTAAAAATTTAAAATTGGAATAAGATGTACATATTACAAATTAAGCTATGATTTTATTAAAGAGCTTATCAGACTGAAGGTGTCGTTTTATATAGTTAAAAACCTATTATTCATATTTGCATGTTTCTGATTTAATTGAAAAATGCCAGTAAAGTGATTCTGATTAATACTAATTGACTGATTCCGTAGCTGTCTTAAAGCAAGTATGAATTACATCTCAGTTGGTTTTGGAAAGGTGGGGATTCATGAATCAATCCCTTTAGTGTTGCATCTTTGGACTCATAAACAGGAAGATAAACAGGTTGGGAGTGCTTTGATTGTGGAGTCCTGCATAGCAGAAGGGGTTGGGCTGGATAGCCTTTGTGGTCTCTCCTAACTCTTATTCTATGTTTCTTGGACAATACAAAAAATGGTGTAGTGTGTGGCCATTATTAACATTACCATATTTATTCAAGCCTAATGCACACCTTTACCAAAATTGAGGTATGTATTAGATTCAGTGTTACGTTAGAATTGTGAATATAAACCCACCTGCATGTAAATGTAATTAATGATGCAGAAGTTGATAGAATAAAAGTAAAAATAAATGTGCTTTGAAATTAATTTATGAACATTGTTCATGCCCTGAAAAAAGCAACTCTGCCAAAAATCCACAGAAATTAAAACCAGAGATTTTGCTATATCTGTTTCAGGTTGTTGTTTTTTTTTTTTTGGGGGGGGGGGGGCTTTTTGGTTTTTTTGCACCTGGAAAAATTGTATGGCTTATGAAGGGGGGGGTTGGCGAGACTAGTGGTTTGAGACAAAAAGTTGTTCAATTTTTTTTAAAAAATTGAGGAACCTTGAACTTTGATATGCCCCTGTGTTCTGCCAAGGAAGCAGAAAAGTGAAAATTGGACCCCACTTCCTCCATAATTGTTCACGCCTGCCTTAGAATAAAATCAAAAGAGATGCCTTGAAGATTATTAAGATTCCAATGCAAAATTTCCTCAAAAGAATATTTACCAGTCCTACAATAATCTTGCTTCTTTGTTTCAACAGTATTCTTCTTCGTAAGAGCCGGGATGGCATTGTATTCAGTACCGATGATTACTTTCGTCAGAACAATGGATGCTGGTCATATAATATTGCTTTGCTTGGTAATGCTCATGACTGGAACCAGAAGAGAGGTGTGAATATATTTGATCTGTTAATCTATAAACCCATTATTGTAACAATATATGAGTAGACTAGCGGAATGTGTGGACAGATTACTTATTTTGCAAGTAATGTCTAATTTGAGCTAGCAGCTAGGCTGTAATTGTCAGATGCAATACAGAAAAACATTGCTTCTTGTTGGGAAACTGTACAGGAGTTTGCAGACCAATATTTGTCTCTTCAGACCAAACTGGGGGATCCAAGTGCACTGGAAGTTACATTATGTCACTTGTGGTTGTTTTCATCAAAATTCAGATTTTAAAAAGCCTTTGAGTGGATTCTTCATGGGAACCATGGTTGCCTTGCCTTTTGGGGCAGTTTGGTGTGGTTTACAAATAGATAATCAACTAAAAATTATACAGAAATCAACTAAAAATCATACAGAAGAAAAAAATTTAAAATAATTTGTAAAAATTTAAGAATCATTGTTGGCTCAAAAATGGGTTTTATGGAACTCCTTCTGCTGTGTAGTGAGGTAGTCTTGTTGACCATTATATAAATTCCAAAGTATATAGGTTGGACCTCATCACACTAGAGGAGTGTTTCTCAAACTCTGCTCCTCCAGATGTTTTGGGCATCAGCTCCCACAATTCCTAACAGCTGATAAGGTATTTGGGATTTCTGGGAGCTGAAGTCCAAAACACCTGGAGTAGCAGAGTTTTAGAAATACTGCACTAGAACATCTGTCCACTTTGAATGTTGTGGCTTCCTCCTGCAGAATTCTGGGACTTGTTATTTAGTGAAACCCAGAAACCCTCTGGCTGAGCATTTCGAAGCCTCCTCCCTAAAACACAAACCAACCCCAGAATTCTGCAGGAGACAGCCGCTGGATATAAACTGGATAATTGCTCTAGTGTAATGAGATCCGTAATGTAATCTACAGATCCTACCTCTTCATCATCTTAGAACAGTGGTTCTCAATCTGTGGGTCCCCAAGTGTTTTGGCCTACAACTCCCAGAAATCCCAGCCAGTTTACCAGCTGTTAGGATTTCTGGGAGTTGAAGGCCAAAATATCTAGGGACTCACAGGTTGAAAACCACTGTGAGTCCCCAGTTTACATGTTGTCTTTGAGTAACATGTAAATTTTTGGACTTAGCTTCTCACTTCCTTTGGATCCTTTTAAAACCATCTTTTCTGAACATCGCAGGTTTGCATGGAGCTTTATGCCTTATTGGTAGTTCTCAATAAAAAGAAAAAGAATTTTGGACAATTGCTTTTCTTTTTTCTTCTTCCCCTCATCTTTTTATGGTGTTCTAAGAGTGTACATTTACTGAAATTCTCCTTCCTTCACAGACACAAGACAGAAGACCCCTTACATACTAACATTAATTTTAACATTGCTCAGATTTATAATATTATGTATAAATATGTTTTATGTGTTTGGAACGTTCTGTATTGACAGATATTGGTTTCTGTAGCTGGAAATTAAGTAGTAAAGACTAGATACTTTGTCTTCTAGAACCCAGTCTGTCAGTACACCATGGATTTTCATATAAGCCACTTTATCTGAAATTGCTCAACCACCTCTTTGGGGTAACTGGGGATGCTGGTAGACAAGGCAGGTATAATATAGGCCTGAACTTATAGTAACAATCCAGTGAAATTGAAGTTTGAATAAGAGAGCTTTATATGATTAGCATTTTATTACTTAAAACAAGTTCTTATTATGTTTGCTATTTGTATAGCTAAATTTTAAGTATGTTTATTGCAGCGAAAGAAGCAATGGACCATGGAAGATCTCCAATTATAATAGACAACACAAATACACAAGCTTGGGAAATGAAGCCTTATGTGGAAGCGGTAAATACAGTAGCAATTTATTACATTGACTAGTTTTACTGTATTAATGGGCTAACTAATTTGCCTGCTTGCACATTTATTAATATTTTTGCTACATTGTTATATTGTTTCGTCAAAAGAGTTAAATCGATACATGAGGATAAGTGTGTTCTAGCCACACCCTTATCACTGCAGTAGTTTAAGAGGGAAGGGTCCCTTATAAATATGGGGCATTTACATGACCCATCATCATGTGAGCATAGTGATGACAGAAGGAGTGAGGTGACTGTTCTCTTTTTGACACATTGATATAACTTATTTTCAAATATATAAACATTCTTTATGTAATGTAGTTATCTATGTAAATATCTATAAATGCTTTGCTGCTAGAACAAACTAGTGTTCAGTGTGTTGAATCTTTAGGGTAGCCCTATATAGGTCTGTTTAGAGATAAGCTTGCAATATTAATCAGAAAAGCTGCATTATATAATTATTCATTTGGTAACTATTTTTATTTATTTAGGCTCTAGAAAAGGGCTACAGAGTTGAATTCCATGAACCAGACACATGGTGGAAATTTAACCCTGAGGAATTAGAAAAGTAAGGTGTATTTTATTTATTTTGTTTGGAAATACATTTTGAAAAAAATACACAAACCTTCCTTTTACTGTTTCATAGGTTCAGTTGTTGTTGTGTTTGGCTGCAGCTTTGTAAAACATGCCCTGTATCCATATATACATTTTTTTCTCTCCACTCCAACATTAGGCTCACTCCCATATTCTGTGGAATAGAACACGAATCACCCATCTGACGGATAATATCTTTGCTTCAATGAGACTGTAGTTTAGCAGATTGCCATTCTACCATCTTTACCCTACCCTATTCCTGAATCTTGATTGAGTTTTGTACAACTGACAAAGTTTATAAAGTTTTTAAAAGATAGTTCCAAAAATGCCAAGTACTCATGATGCCCCAAATCTTGGGTTCTCCCAGTGTGCACAGCTCCAGATCAGTTCAATGAGACACATAGCAGGAGCTGAAGGCAGGACAGAAATCAATTTATTCAGCTCTGGTCAGAGTAGACACTGAAGGGGGCAGTTCCCAAATCTTCATGTCATTTAAACCCAAATAGTATTTTATAGAAAACTTACCCACATTCTGAAACATGAAGAATGGAGGCAATTGGTGAAGGTTTCAGGATCCTTGGTTTCATTGGATGTGGAGGCCTGTTCATACCTGATTGCAAACTGGCTAGAAGTTTAAAGGTCCACGAATATCAGTTACTGATTATAATGAATATTGGTGGCTGAGTGGGCTGGCAGGTAATTTCACTAAACTGTCTGATTGAATGTGAAGTTTGTCTGTTGCCTGCTGTGTCCATCCCCTGGGACTGTCTGAGAATGGAATTTGGGCACACCTGGGAGATAATGGACACTTGAGAATATTTTCAAACATCTTGGGAAAGGTGATTCCTGTCAGTCTTTGGATTTGGGAGACAGGGCAGAGTAGGAACTCGTGAGAAAATTCATCCTTTTGTTTTTCTTGGAATTCATTTTTAATAACATTATTCCGCCCTCTGAGACTTTTATGTCGTGATTTATCATCAACCTACTGTTTCACCCTACCTAAAGTATCCAGTTGGATTCAGAGGATCTGGTGGGGCTCAGGGGTCCCCTTTGTCAGGAGCAACATGTCAAGATCATAGAGGGCAAACAGGGCTAGCAACAACAACAGACTTTCAGTGACACAAGCATATGTTCACCATTTATTAGCCTCTTGCGCATCCCCCCCCCTTTTTTTTTTTTTTTGCTCCTGATTACGTACTATACAACCATTCTGGCAGTGTAGATGGGCCTTTTTGTTAGTTTTTACTTTTAATAATACAGATCTATGAGGAAGCTTCAAATTTGCAAAAATGAGTGGCAGGAGAGACAAGCTTTTACCCCTTTCAGCTTGAAATTAATGTTTGCTTGTTGTTGTGTTTCTTGTGATCAGATAGATATACAATAAGTAGTTTGTGAATGTTTCTTGAAGAGGACAATCTGAAAAATATGCAAGTTGATCATACCTTAACTCCTTGTTTTGTAGGAGGAACGAACATGGGGTCAGTCGTGAGAAGATTGTCCAAATGTTGGAAAGATATGAATATCAAATGTCAATACCCATTGTAATGAATTCAGTGTTACCTTTTCACAAAACTTCACAAAGGCCACCACCACAAAGAAGACAGAGGTGGGAAGGCTATTCAGACTCTTGGAATACTTTTAATGTATCAAATTGCCGATAACAGATAAATCTGGGCACACTGTAAGGATGAGATTAAAACATTTAAGACTTCAGTGGGTTTAAGCATCATGAACTACATGTTGTTTTTTTGTCAAACTACTCAACTACTTTGCTTTGAGGCTGATATGTCTTAATGCAAATAATTACTTGTTTTGGAGATTGTTCATAAACAATGTAAATATTTAATATTGAGACCAGCCATTAAATACTTTGAAATTCTATATTTGTACTAATCTTGGTTTTAATTCAACCCCGTGATGATGTTTACAGCATACGGTTCAGACTGGTTTGTAACATGAGGGTCTTATTAAATTGGAAATTGCTGTGCAGTTTCTTTTAAGAATTCTAGTTAGAAGACAATACTTTTTAAAGAAGTCCCACTAACCAAAATAATAAAGTTAATATAGCTATGATCATTGAACCATTGCTTCTTAGAGGTTTTAACAGCAACTTCAGTTTCAATTTCACCTACTGGTTTGGTTTGTCTGTACAGTGTGTTGCAAAGGAGGTCATCAAAACTAAAGCTAAAATATATGATCAGTGCATCAGTTTGTACTTTTTATGGAATCTGCAGAAGTTCAGAATTTATTGAGTTTTTAATATCAAGATTTACATTTTTTTAAATTTTACAGTGCTCTTTGCATGAAATTTGTTTTCATGTAGAATGTGAAACAAACTGACCAATATTCTGGGGTTGAATGTTTTCTATTATACTCTGCTTTCACATACCCAGGCATTGTTATGGAGCTTACTTAAGAAAAATTCCTGCTGGGCATATAAGACGACCCCCCCCCCCCCAACTTTTACAGTTAAAATACAGAGTTTGGGATATACTCACCATATAAGCCGCCATGAGAGCTGAAGCCGGAGTGGGAGGGGGGCAGCAGGGTGGTGGGAGAGGTTGCCCCTGGCTACTCCCCCCCCCCCCCCCATGGAGGGCCCTCCTGGCAGCACCCCCCATCTGGTCTGGCTTCGACTCCCACGGTGGCTGCTCTGGGCTTGAGGGTTGAGGCAAAGCTAGCACCAGGCCGGTGGCGAGGGCGAGGGAGGTGAGGGAACATCGAGGGCTACAACATCCTGGAGAATCGCGTGGTGCCGCCTGGGATTTGGTTAGGAGGGACTGTTGGCAGATTCAGTTGATGGAGTGACGAATGGCAATCCGACATACTGTTATGCCGCTATACCCCCCCCCCCACATTTTTGAGATGATTTTCTTTGTTTAGAAAGTTGTCTTGTACGTCAGAAAGTATGGTACCTTTTAAGCATTGTTTTCAACCATAAAGGGGCAGAAGAGGAGGAACTCAAGGCCCTCAAGATTTACCATGGGGATAGCATGAGGTTGTTGTTTCCCTAGAGGTTAATTGATAAAGTCAAAAATTAATGTCTGTGGTGAGTATTCACAGTAGTTCTATTTTTGTACAACAGTCTTAGATTTCCTCCTTAGGAACCTCTTGTACACTCTAAAGTGAGAGCATTCTCTGAAAAGACATTTTATAAGGCATTATGGGCTGCTGTTCAAAGGAATTTTGCCTCTTATTTTCTGCATGAGTGGAAGTGCTGTAGCATTTGCTTGTTTTACAGGAAAAAATATTCATTTAGAATATATTTACATTCATATTTCAAAGTGAAAGAAGCTAGCATATAACAGGGTTTCGATGACAAAATTTGGAGGAGCAATGACTAAATGTAACACCTTTTAATCCAAAAAAGAATTGGATTCTGATTCTAATACAAAAGAAAAAATATATGACTAGTAGCAACTTTCATGTTTGTCTAGATATTTTAGGTGAGTGTGGATCCACAACGTCAACATTTTGGTGGAGAAAAAAGTCACCTGTCTTATTCAGGGTTAAAATATTTAATAGCTTAAAGCTATGGAGATGGCTCTATTTGTATTTTACTTTTGTCAGTGTTGCAACTTCTACAAATATTTGCATGTATTTCCTCTTGTTGGCAAAGAGCAGTAGAGGGTTGCAAAGGATGATTAGTTGGTTTTGCACATACAGGAATCTGATGAGAGAGGAAGAGTCAGAGCTGTTCAGAGTAATAGCTTGATCTTAACTATAAGGTTTTGTACTGAGTCTCATATTTGACTCAGATATTCCTAAAATAACAGCATTGTCTTTTGAGATGCACTTTTGTGTAGACATTTTTTACAAGCCCCACTCCCTTTTGTGCTGTTGTAGTTTTGATATTAAAGTTTTGTGCTAGTGTGGTTTTCTGTTCCCTGATTTGTTTTATTAAACATAGAGCTGAAATCATATTATAATTCAGAATCAAAATTTGGAATAAATTCTGAAAGTTTAATGTTTGTTGACTTGTGTTTTTAATTTATGTTACGGACTATGTGTAAATACTTTTTCATTGAAACTTTATTAAATCTAAAATTTTGAATGATATTTTGCATCTTTGTTTACAATATTTTGCAATCCTATATTTATTATTATTAGTAGTAGTAGTATTTATACCACACTTTTTCCCTGCCAAAGGAGACTCAGAACAGCTAAAATTAAACCATAACAGTGTGTTAATTAAAACATAATACATATAAACGTTAAAATAGAATTAAACATATAAATATAAAAATATGAAGTTACAACCAATAAAACTATTAAACAAATGATTAAACTACCGAAAACAATGGTTGGTCTTTGAAACCATCATTTTAAAAGCCTACCTGGGGGAAAAAAAGATTCCAGCCTCCACTAGAAGTCTCACAAATGTATCTCAGTATTGGATTTCAATATTTTCGATGTCTGATAACTTCAGTATCTTGAAAGGATATCTATAACATTTAACCTTTAATCATTTCATCAGTATTTAGTAATTGTTGAATATATTTTCCCTCTGGTGAGACAAAAGGATAGTTGGCTTAGGAGCTCTGCCTATAGCTCATGTCAGAGCAATGCGCTCGTGTGAAAGTCTTCTGTGCAAAAATGGCCAGGGTTTTTCAAAAAACACTTTATATTTTCTCCTTCTTGCAAGTAAATATCTGTATTCTTTGAGGTCGTTTGTACAGAAATACTTTCTTGTGTTAATATTTATCTTGTGTTGATGCCAAAAAGATAGAAGTAAGAACTTTTTTTAAAGTAAAGAGGTTCAGCCCTAGGGATCCCATCACTCGTTTTATCCTTTTACCCTCAAGATCCCTTCCTAGATCTGATACTCAGGACTCTACACTATAAAAGTATGTTCAATATGGTAAATAAATAAATATGGTAGTAATAATAATAGTAATACATTGTATTTCTTACATTCTTCTCCACAAGATTCCTGACAGAGTACAACAGGGTTAAACAACTGGCTGGGATTTCTGGGGGTTGTAGGCCAAAACACCTGGGGACCCACAGGTTGAGAACCACTGAAATCACTGTTCTAGCAAGAGGTTCAACAGCTCATTTGGCTATAAGAATTTTAAAAAGCATGATGACCTTTTTCTTCTAGCAGGCATACCCAGTCAATTTTAATTGGTATTTTAGAGATATTATTCTTTTTCTTTTTTTTCTTTTTTTATTAAATTTTTGTTGGTTTTACATTAATACTGAACATGAAACAAAGTGCATGTGGAAACATGGGACAAGACAAACAGTATGACAAGACATAATGATACCTTCCAACAAGACATCTTACTGAACTAAGACATACATACACGTGTGATGTACCAAAAACCCCTCCCGCTCTTTCCCGCCCCCTCCCCATTCCCCCCCCCCCCGGTTAAAACCGACTTCCCCTCATCTTCATTCACTTCTTAAGTGCAATCTTCTTACAGTACTGTTATTACATTCTTCCTCTCCCCCTTTCCTGTATAATATTTCTATTCTATTTTCTATTTTAGAGATATTATTGATTTTAATATTTTAATCTTATGTTTATGTGTTTATAGTTTGTGTTTTAAATTGATTCATATTTTATCTATTGCTTACCAGCTGGGAACCCACAGGTTGAGAACCACTAATCTAGAAGGTCATTCACAGTTTAGGGGCAGCTAATGAATAGGCCCTCTGGACGACAGTTGCCAGTTGGGTTCTAGCTGGTTGAAGCAAATGTCACCCGGAAGACCTGACTGTATGGGGCAGATTATATGGGAGAAGGTGATCCTCGAGGAACCTAGACCCCTTAGGCCTATCCTATGTCTTACAAGTTCATGGTGTTTAGAAGTAGTGTTATAGGGAGAGGAAGAGAGGATAGATAGTAAGAAAATATAAAGCAGATACATCTAAACAATTGCGCAATATCCATGCAATGAAATTGTATTTAAAAAACTTGGAAATTTACCATAATTCTCAATTTATTTTCAACTACCATTAATACACATATTGTCAAAACTTGGCCATACATAAAATTTCTTCCAAACTACAGTAAATCAAACTATTTATGTTACAATAGAACTACGGTGTACTGTAATGCAACAGTAGGCATTACAAGATATAATGAAAAATAATAGACACCTGTGGTTGCATTTTTTATTTTTTGCAGTGGCAAATTAACTTGACAAATTTCTACTCAGTTTCATTCAATTTTTATTAATTTTTCTGGAGCGGCCGCAGAGCCTCTGCTCTAGGACAGTGGCTCCTAACCTGTACTCCACCGAGCCCTAAGGACTTCCCAAGGGCCCGACGGCAGCTGCAGGAAAATAAAATAAATAAAATAAAAACTGAATAAAATTAAAGGAAAAGAAACAAAAAGTAGAATCAAAATAAATCATTCTGAATGGAAATTTGCCAAGTTGAATTTGCGACTTTTCTACCCTTAGGGTTTCCCCTTCATTGCATTGAATGAGCTATGATTGGTTGGTTCTATTCAGGCTTGCCCAGTTCAAGTGGTGAATGCACTTCACCTGCTGAGCTCTTTGAAGGCTTAGTAGCAGTGAGGGAAGACAATAGTACCTGATCTTTTGGGAGACGGAGGGATACAGAATTTCCTATACAAAGGCATTATGAGGCAGGCTATGTAAATAGCAAATGATAGAGAACAAGTCTCATAATGTTTAATTAAACAAAGGAAGAGGATTAAAGTTAAATTACGTACTAAGACAGACCTTTCATAGCTTATTACACACTGCTCTATTGAGTTTTATTTTAGTTTAAGCAAAAGCCCTTTTAAAAGATGCCAAAGGCAGTTATGCTTAAGAAACAACTTTCAAAGTATCAATACCAGGTCTTCAAAAGTTAAAATGAGACAGGTGACAAAGTAACATCTCGAGCAAACAAAACTCCATAAAAAATGGAGTGTCCAGCCATGTCTCCTGGGCAATCAGTTTAACAGCTTGCATGTACTGTAGTTACAGGGAGGTCACACTTGCTTCTCTGTCAATGTGACTCAAAGAAAAATGGGATATGAAAAGTGCCTTATCGGTTGGCCTTGAAAGACCATTTATTAGAACCCTTGTCCTAACCCATTAGAACAGTGATGGTTTGCTGTGAGCTTCTAGACTATTGGGCAGCAACTCCCATAATCATTTGGCTGGCTGTTAAGAATTGAGGGAAGTTGCAGTCTGATTTTGAGAGGGCCAGAATTGCCCACCGCCCCTTTAGAGCTGTGAAATAGCACTTTGAAAGGAATCAAAATGGATCAGCACCAGCTCTACCATCAGATCTTTTGCAGCAGTTTTATCATCTGTACGTAAACTAATTCACAAACAATGCAATACACATTCAGAAGCATGAAATACAATAAAGAAAAAGAAAAGGCAACATAAATATTTTGGTTAACATTGCAAAATTTGTCTTTAACTTTGGGGTGGGGAGTAGAATTAGAACAGTTACTTTTGCTTTCTTACAAATTCATCAAAAATGAAAAAGGAGCCCTCCTTAGCTTGGCATCCCCAGCATTGGTTTGAAACATTTTAATTGTATATGTTACCCTTTTTAGCACTGTTGGGTGCTAAGTCTTTTTATGAGAGAAAAAAGTGGCATATAAATAATGATAGCTAATTTGGGACATTTTTGACAGCTTCTATGGGGTGACAGAGATTTTCTCATGAATTACTAAACAAAGTATATTGTATATCATTGGACCACATTTTCCCCATACATCTAAATAAACATGCTCAAAATTTAGGGTTCACTTTATTGTGTATGCAGGTTAATCTTCTGTCTCTAATTTCAAAAGCTGCTTTGTTAAATTACATGGTCATTGTCTTTACAAAACTAAATAAAACTTGTTTTCTCCCAATTTCTTATGGTCGCATTTATCTTGATTAAATAGGTCTTGCATGTTTCTACTTCGAAGTGTTTACTACTTTGGATGCAGCCTTTCCCACTCTACTATGTTTTTGAGAATTGATCTTTCATATTTTTGCTTTTATTTATTTATATCCTGCCTTTCTCCTGACATGGAATCTAAAGCAGGTTACAAGGGTGTGAAAGATAGCACTAAAAACAAATAAAAGGGTTTTGAAAACTTAAAAATAATAATTTAGAATAATATAATAAAAAGACCATAACCTTCATTTGCTGGAGAACTGAGAGGAAATCAACCTAGCCTCTCATGGAAGGGAGCATCCATCAAGAAGGCTCTTCATGGTCCTGTGACAATGGCAGACCTGGGAGACTTTGGTCCTGCAAGTGTTTAAGACTTTAACTCCCAGAAATCTCAGCCAGCTTACTAGCTATTAGGAATTATGAAAGCTGAAGTCTAAAACACCTAGAGGACCAAAGGTTGGGAACCAGTGATCCAAAAGGAAGCTGTTTCAGTATCAGATTGGACAAAGGCAAACAAGTTGAAGCTTAATCAACATGAAACGGAGATGGTCCTGAAAAAGGCATATCAGGTAATGGGAATTTACCATGTGCAGTATAGATTACACCAGTGAGATACGCTGGTGTAATCTATGACTGGATTTAGCCTTGAGCCTCAGGATTCTGTATTGACCAGGAGTGCATCACTAATAGTTACAGTTAGCATGCAAGTTGCACACATTCTTGGAGATTTCTGACCTGCCGACATTGTTAAAAGGTTTAGTTATATCCATTTTGGATTACTGTAATGCATACTTTTCAAAGGTGAGTTTGAAAAGTGCATAAAAATTGTAGTTGGCCCAAAGACATGCAGCCATACTATTTGCCGAGGCTGATTCTCTTGCTACAACAGCTCAATTGTCTACCAGTCTTGATTGTGGGCACAATTCAAAGTGCTGAATTTGATATATAAAATACTATATTGCTTGGGTCCAGCTATCTGAAAAAGATTACAGTATATTCTGGCGTATAAGACTACTTTTTAACCCAAGAAAATCTTCTCAAAAGTCAGGGGTCGTCTTATATGCGGGTGTAGTCTTATGCATGGGAGTCATCTTAACTCTATATTTTAACTGGAAAAGTTGGGGGTCGTCTTATACGCCCAGTCGTCTTATATGCCGGAATATACGGTACATTATCTGGGAAAGTCCACTTATATCAAGTACCCCCAAAAGACCACTGAGTTCCAATATAAAGTTATCTAAAACAAATAAACCTTGTGGTAAAATAACAAAATTGCTAACATATATTAGAAATTCACTTCAGGCATAAGGCATACATTGGACATACAGTATGAGTGCCTTGAAAGATGTTAGAAAGGAAATAGTCCATGCTAAAATTTTAATTGCTGCTAATTAAAATACAACCATAAGCTTATTTGCTTAGAAGTCCCATTGACCTCAGATAATTTTGAAATAATCATTTGTGGCCAACAGTCCACCAACAATCCATAAATACAATATAAATCAATAAATAAAACAAAAACAGAAGCTTAAAAATATAGACCAGCTTCATTAATGAAAAGTGAATTTTATTGTATGTTTAAAGTAAATTTTTAAAAGCCAAAAAAGGAAACCAGACACCCATCCATGAGAGTCATACAAAGGTAGGGCCCAAACCATAAAAGCTCTATTTCTTCTCCCTGTTAATCTAACAACTGGGAAATTAGTAATAAATGTCATGGTAACTACTGTTTGGGCTACTTTTCTGTTTACAAAGAATTCATATGAATTCTGTTGTAATTATTCCTACTAAAAACACTATTATTTTAATTGAGCCTTTTTGAAACAATGGTAAACGGTTCAAACCCTAATAAGAACCACAGGCTCATCATGCCACCACAACATTCTGATTCATGATGTTGAACTCTGTTATCAAATGCATTCAACTTATATGATTTTTGTTGTTCTTGTTATGGTATAAATGCTTCCTCTTAAAAAATAAATAGAACTGAATATTTTTAAGAGTGGCATAGAACTATCTATGACAGACATTTATGTGGCATGGCTTATACTAAAATTATCCCCAATGGCCTGCTAAGATGTAAAGTGATAAATTAGACTATAAAATCTGTAATTAATGCTTTCTAAGATCATTCTTAATAATTTGTTTATATCTAGTTCTTTATTCTATTTAGGGAATTGGACATAAAGAAGAATGACAAGTTGCACAAGATGAAACAGAGGAGGAAACAAAAGAGAAACCAAAAAATGAAAGGTGCTGCTATAAAATCAATGGGAGAAAAATCAAATAGACAATTAACTTCAAGTGATGAAGACTCATCACAGAGTGGATATGAAGATTCAGAAGGCAGCAGAAAACCAGCATTTGTGTCTGAACATTCAAATGAGTCCAAAGAGGGTGGTGAAAATGGTTCAGCCAATAATGATGTAAAACTTTCTATGTTGAAAAAAGAAAGCATCCTTCTTTCCAGTTTCGAGCATCCATTGACTTCAGGCAATTCACCAGATCCAGATGTTCTTGCAGGAAACAGCAGTTTGCCTGTAGCGAGTTTACCAGCTGTTCTAAAAGAACACATAATTGGACAGTCACTTGGTGATCATGTGTCAAATAGAACCCAAAGTTCAATCTCTGAAGAAAGCAGGAGCAACATGCCAGAGTATAACCATCCAAGCTGTTCTCTAAAATTGGACCATAATGGTACAGATAATAGTATTGGCTTAACCAATATGAAAGGCAAAGATGGACCTACTAATAGTGTTGTTGGACTGACCCTTGAAAGTAAGCAGTTCAGTGACAAGGAGGAAGCAACCATTCTTCATCACTATAATGCATCACAGAGGAATGAGACAAATACTTTCTTTTCCTTTGACATGGTTGCCAAAAAACCAAATGCAAACTCTGATAAAAGTGAATTTAGCAGGAATTGGCTTGAGGATACATCTAAAATCATATATGATCAAAGACCAAAAAAAGTGAGGAAGCCTAAGAAGTCTTTTTCAGAAACTACAGCAGAGCTACTTGATCATGGATCTAGTAAAGAATTTACGGAAAACAAAAATGATGAAGTGTTAGATGGAAATAGCATTACTGGTGGTCCTGTACCATCACTGTTAAGTAAGAACACATGGGAAATGCCATGCACCATAATAGATTATTTTGCCATTGGATCTGGAACTAATGGTAGTGGTACTAGTGATGTAACCACATTAACCTCACCAAACAAAAAAGGAAGAAGCAAAAGAATCTTCAAATTGGCCCCCAAATTTGATGTACCCAGGCAGATTCCTATTAGAAAGGAAGAGAAAATGGTAAAGGAGGTAGATGTACTGTTGAAAGAAGAAATTTCAAATGAAGACACTGGAGAAAATAGCAAACAAAGCCTAGGCCCTCCATCTTCTGACTCTGTAGTAGATGTTTCTCAATTTAATGTGGAATATCTTAGTTGTAATAATTCCAAAGAACTTGTGAAGCAATCTGTGGACTCACCAGCAAATGCTGCTCCAGTTCAGATGTGTCCTCTTTCTTTTGAAGCTTTATTGCCTTCTGAACAATCGATGATAGAAGCTAACACTGAGAAAGAGGGTGACAAAGTACTTCCAGAAGTTTCAACCACTCAGCCAGATATTTTGTATTCGGTTAAAGACCTTTCTGAGTGCCTTACAAGATCATCTGCTGAAACACTAGAAAACACACAACTTCACGAAACAGGATTAACAGTTGCTTCCCAGATCAAGGATAATCAAGACCCATTAAGTGCTGAATCCAGTTTCTTGGGGCTTCCTTTATCACTAGCATTTGCAGCTCAACTAGTAGAACTTTTTGGTTCTCCTGGAGTTTCATTGGGTAATTACTACATTTTATGCAAAGAAAGAAAATAGCAATGCTTAGTACAATTTTCTCTAAACAATTTGGACTTCGACTTTAGGTGTTCCTATCTTAGCAATCATCTGCAAGTTGTATCTTATCCATTGCTAGACTTATGTCCTTGCTTCCTGGTACAAATGTAAACTTATTGCATGCTTTTGAGTAGTGATGGCATCTATTTTGGAACAAAAATTGAAAAATCACTCGAATGCAGCATACTTTTTCAAAATATTTGTTAAATAGCATGAAATCTTTTGTGTGGCTTTATCTTTTCTTTTGATCATTGCCAGTTGGTATTTATACTTATTTCACAGTCTATTATGTGTAGATTCCATTCATGAGGCCAACTGCATGCTTGTTTCGTGTCAGTAGCACCACAGTCTTACATTTTCCAAGCCATTAACTGAGGTTCTGAATCTGCATGTAGAAATCTTGCATGATATTTGAAAAGTATTTTATTAATATTTTCTATGAACCTGGATTTCCAACTGTTGTCAGGGTGAATGTTCAACGCATTTCACAGGCTAGTACACATTTCTTGTGACGTATGTTTCTTCCAGATATCTTACAGTAATAAGCCTATTGTTTGGGACCATTTAAGTCTAGAGGTATCTAGCGCTGGACCACAAAAATCCAGTTCATTGTGTCATGGTCCAAAATGGAACCAACTGCTTGATGGGGTCTCCTCCTCTGGATGTTTTCAAAAAGAGGCTGGAGATATCCCACACTGAACAAGGAGTTGAACCTAATGACCCACAAGGCCCCTTCCAACCCCATGATTCTAAAAGTATAAAATTATACATTAAGCAGATGTTATCAACTGGAAAATACTGCAAAATTATGTTTTGGGATCATTGAACAAAGCAATGCACAGCATATATGTTAAACAATGGTCTAATATTATTGCACAAAATACCTAAATGTTAAAGTCATGTTGTATTACAACATAAAGACGGGCCCTTTATCACGAAATAACATCATTTAATACATTAATCAAACAGTGTGGAAAAGTGAGGGCAAAGCAGAGTCAGGTTTTCTTACGGACTTTTCTGTAATACCTGTATTGAACTGTGGTTGCAGAATTCAGAATTGTGGAGATCTAAACACTGCAGCAAGAAAAACACACAGTGAAGTTGTATTTTGTTCTTTGTATCCATACTCATGTCTAAAATACTGGTTCTGTATCCGGTTTTAGTGAGATGAGAAATTTACTCTGACAGGTCTGCTATTTGCGACTCTTCATAGCTGAATCAATTGTGGATCTTCACTTCCAATATACTTATACGTACTTCTGCTCACCAAAGTCTGCTTCAAACACTAAAGGATTCAAGTTTTCCCAGTTCCTTTGCAGCTTCAAAACATTCACAATACCTGCTAACAGATGGAATGCTATTCTGATGTGAGGAATTTACAACTTGTTCAATTATCACTTTCAGGATTGACTTCCCAGAATATTTCAAGACGGTCAAATAATGCATATGTATATATAACCCTTCTGTCTTGCTTGCTATCTCACTCATACTCCTTTATATTCTTCATTTTAGTTTTTTTCCCCTTTAAGCATGGGAAAGCATCAGAGCTACCTGAGAGGCATTCTCTCAGGTTAAAAATAAAGCAATTTCCTCATCTGATTTTTTTTTACTTTCACCGGGGTCTGGTGCTTCTAATGCCAGCGAATGTGGTGCAGATACCTCCAGTTGTCCTTACACAGGCAGTCTCAAGTTACAAATATACAACTTACAAACAACTAGTAGTTAAGAATGGGAGTGAGACAATAGGAAGTGAGAGAAATCTACCCCTATAAAGGGAAATTCTCTCCTAAACACACCTAAAAGGTGTATCTCCACTGAAGCTTTTTCACCAGTCCTTGTTTCCACAACTAGGCACAGACAGCAAAATCAACATCACAGGGGCATTTCTTATGCCACCCAAAGACTATCTATCTGTGTCTAGGGTTGCACTTAAAAATGTACATGTTTCAACTTATATACAAATTCAATTTAAGAACACACCTACTTATCTTTTCCGTAACTTGGGGACTGCCTGTATTAATGACTGAAACATCAAGTGATGACGGCACATGTCATGAACCATTAATGATTTACCTCCGTTTATGTCTGAATCTAATCTTTCAAACATATACAGCTACTCATAATTATATATGAGTTAAGGAGAAATGAATGGATACACTTGCATGTGTGAATCATCCCTAGAACATGCTAGTCTTTAAAAATAAATAGCAAGCTTAGTTCTTGGTTGAATAACCATATAATACAAAAATCTTCTCTTGTAGGGACCTTATTACCAGATGATTATGTAGTTCCTCTTGAGTGGGAAACCTCAAAAGAGATCTATTTACAGTGGAAGATGTCTGTAGAGGTATGTATGTTCGGGGTTTTTTTTACTAGTCTTACTATACAATTAGATTGAACCCCCTGGTGGCGCAGCGGGTTAAACCACTGAGCTGTTGAAGTTGCTGATCAAAAGGCCAGCGGTTTTAATCAGGGGAGCTGGGTGAGCTCCCTTGTTAGCCCCAGCTTGTGCCAATCTAGCAGTCTGAAAACATGCAAATGTGAGTTGATCAATAGGTAGCACTGCAGAGAGAAGGCAACAGTATTCCATGCAGTCATGCCAGCCACATGACCTAGGAGGTGTCTACAGACAACGCCGGCTCTTCAGCTTAGAAATGGAGATGAGCACCATTCCCCAGAGTTGGATGTGACTAGACAATGTCATAGATAGATAGACAGACAGACAGATAGTCTTTGGATAGACGTAATGACTTATAGACTTTACTATACAGATAATCCTGAATTTACAATAGTTCCTCTTGCTGGAAGAAGGCAAGGAGACATGTAACATTTCTTATTTGTTTTTTTAGAAGAAACAGAAGAATAATATATTAAAAGAAGAAGGTTCCTTGACAGGTGTGTACATTTTTTTTTTCCTGGAGGAGGTACGGATACTCTCTGAGAATGATGAATTATTATTGGCTATATTTATCTATATTTTATTTTCATTTGTTTCTGTGGAATTGACACCTAGAGAGGTGACTGAAATATGAAGACCGTATCTGATCAAATAAATACTGTAATGTGTTAGTAACTGTCATGGGAGATTTCACTGGCCTTCTGGCATGTCCTGCAGACTTAGAGCCTCACTATAGGGCTTTACTGATATATGCATTAAAAAACATAGTGCAAAAATACTTCATTTTTTACTAACAGCTGCATATTGCAGATAAATGTTATTCTTACTGGGCTTGTCAGTCCAAAATAGGAGATTGCAAATCATCTAATAGAGATAACCCTGTAGCCCAGATGGTATAGGTTTGGCCTTGAGATCACTGGGTGTACTTTACATGCATAGTAGCTTTGAAAATAGGAGCTTGGGATAGTGATAAAAATGTTTTCCTTAACAAATGCTTGCTATGTAGGTCATGCACACTTTATCACTCCATGGAATTATTACAAAGCCTGTAAAATTTTTCAGGAATTAGGCTAGATCCCCACAACCGAGCCAGTTCCAAAGACATAAAAGTCATGTAAGAACAGAGAAAAAGCTATCCTAGATGGCTGGATAAGGCTCTTTGTTCTAAGAATAAAGGGGAGATTCTACAGAAAGGTTGAAGCTGACAGAACTGCATGCTTAAAAGGCATACAGTTCTATCAGCCTCAACAGGAGTTGGAAACCAGAGACATTCCCTTTTACCTTTTGGAGAAGGAGGAGGATCCTTATTATCCCGGTGGTGAAACCACGTAGAACTTTATTTTGGTTGTGTTGTTTCTTTCTTTGTAAAAGATGCAGGTGACCTAGAAGAGTCAAATAAAGATGGAGAGAGAGACAACTCTTCTGAAGATAACCAAAAGATCTCATTGCCAGAAACATTGTTTTGACGAAATCCGCTTAGATACCAAGTTCAAGCAGCAGTGGTGATCTATTCTGAATTTTCATCTAAAAATAAACATCAACTGCTTTGAGCAGAAAGGTAATAGTCTTAAAAGTGGGATCTATTTCCTCTATTTTGTCTGGCTAATTATAGGCTTAGATCTTTTCAGCCCCCAGTGGCGCAATGGGTTAAATCCTTGCACCAGCAGGACTGCTGACCAAAAGGTTGGTGGTTTGAATCTGGGGAGCAGAGTGAGCTCCCATCTATCAGCTCCAGCTTCCTTGTGGGGACATGAGAGAAGCCTCCCACTGGATGGTAAAACATCCAGGCATCCTTTGCGCAACATCCTTGCAGACAGCCAATTCTCTTAAACCAGAAGCGACTTGCAGTTTTTCCAGTCGCTCCTGACACACAAACAAATATTTTCTGCATATGAATATTTTCTGATTGGTCTGCATAAACCATCTAACCAGCTTCTTCTTCCCTCCATTCCCTACGTGTTGAGTGAAAAAATTTGGAGCAGAAAAAAATGACACAGGAGGAGCAAACAATATAAATAACTGGGTTGTTGTGCATTCTCTCCTGACATTTTGCCCACATCAAGGTGGCCAATTGCAACATTCACACTTGTTTCAAGGAGACAAGAGTTCTTTCTCCAACCCTGGACATTCCACAGACATATAAAACTCATTTGCCTAGTTTCCAACACACCTCACAACCTCTGAGGATGCCTACCATAGATGTGGGTGAAACGTCAGGAGAGAATGCTTCTGGAACATGGCCATACAGCCTGGAAAACTCACAGCAACCCAGTGATTCCGGCCATGAAAACCTTCAACAACACAATATAAATAACTATTTATTTACCTACCTTTTGTGATTCTTCATGTCAGCATAGATCTAGTATTATTAAATACTGATTGCATGGCAACATATTTCTATGTTGCAATAAATTAAAAAGGAAGTAAGGTTACTTCTGTATTTTAGACATATTTTGGGAAGACATAACTCAGTGGGAAAGTTAGTAATGCTTGGTAACATATAAGGCAGTAGGAAAAGAGTGTCATCACATTCCAGATGGATAGACTTAAATCAAAGAAGCCAGAGCCCTAATTTTGCAAGACCTGAGCAGGGCTGTTGATGAGAGAGTGACTAGGGGAGGGGTCTATCATTTATTGGGTTGCCATAAGTCAACAGTGAACTTTTGGAAAATTGCATTCATAACCATTTGGAGATCATAGCCTTTTGAAAAAGCATGATCTTTCAGAGAAGAGCCAAAAAAACCTCATTTGAGTAACATCTTCTCTTTAGTTGTATATATCCACAAGTACTTGTGCAAGGCACTTTGGTTTTCAGTTGTTAGACTGATAACCTGTTTTTTTTTTTTTTGGTCGTGTCAGGAGCAACTGGTCCTGTTGTGAGAGAATTGGCCGTCTGCAAGGACGTTGCCCAGAGGACGCCTGGATGATTTTTGATGTTTTATCATCCTTGTGGGAGGCTTCTCTCATGTCCCCACCTGAGGAGCTGGAGCTAATAGAGGGAGCTCATCTGCCTCTCCCCGGATTCGAACCTGCGACCTGTCGGTCTTCAGTCCTGCCGGCACAGTGCTTTAACCCACTGTGCCACCAGGGGCTCCTGATAACCTGGTTGTCTCTGTCCAATGCACAAAATATAGCAGTTCTTCAGAAGTGGTTTTTTTTTCAATGCCCCAGAACATCTACTCTCCCATAAAACATCTTATTTCTATATTATGCTCTCATGAAACAAAAATAAAGTAGACTTTGTTAAAAGTAACATATTTGGTTTACTCACAACCTTCATGTATTCAGCATACAGGCACCTAACTTGTCAAACCAGTTACAGATAGGTTTAAAGTAGTTTCTCTGTGCAGATAACACTTGGCATCTTTCTTACAATCAACAACAACACGAATTTGCTCTTTATAGTCCAAAGACTAAGCTGATAAGAGACACTCTTAACACCCTGAGAGTCTAATGGAATCTGAGGTCTGAGCAGATCATGTGGTCTGAAGCCCCTCCGACAACCTCAAGAACATTTTTGTCTTTGCCCTTTTAAATATTCAGAATAGGCATGAGAGGATGTTGGTTTCATAAGGTTTGCCTGTAAGTAGAAAAGACTGGTCTCACACCCTCTTTTCCATTACCTATTTAGTTCTTGGGGTTATTCTGTCCATTTCCTCTTTTCTTCAATTACACTTAGATGTACTTCATTCTTTTCCCCCCTCTGAATATTAGTCATTATTATGTAGACAATGAAATTATTTATTATTTATTTGGAACATTTATACTCCATTCTCGACCTCCCAGGAGGGACTCAGGACGGTTACCAACAGGCAACAATTTTGATGCCTACTGATGGCACATTGCACATCATAAAATAATAACCAGTGAAAGATTAACTAGTAAAAGGGAGAAAATCTATGTAGAAAACAATGTCTGTCACTTTCCTAGCCAGAAGATAAAGTACTTCAAAAAGTATTAGCTGAAAAACAAATCTCGGCTAATTACAAACACTGTAATTATGCGTGTTCATATTGCATTCTGAATCAAGTGTAAATAGGTGTAGCATTTGATTGGATATTTTTTTCTTACATGGTTTTCTTTTGTATTACAGGATTGTTCGCTTTTTCTTCATCATGGATGGACTCCAGTTAACATCCTGCTGTAATCATTAAAAACGATGAGGAAAACATAAAATATATGTCGATGATCCTTTTACTTAGCCTTGCATTCATACAGCCTCTGAACTTTGTTCTGAAACAAAATTAAGCACTGAATGCTGTTTTGCTGTTTTGTAATTTTGCTATTGGGAAGCCACTCGAAATCTATGTTGATTTGCCTGTTACAACAAAATAAGTGATCGATACTCTAGCTCAGGCATGGGCAAACTTCAGCACTCCTTGTGTTTTGGACTTCAACTTCCACAATTCCTGGCCTCGGGTCTTTTCCTTTTCCCCCTCAGCCACTTAAGTGGCTGAGGGGGAAAAGGAACAGGCCTGAGGCCAAGAATTGTGGGAGTTGAAGTCCAAAACACATGGAGGGCTGAAGTTTGCCCATATCTGCTCTAGATAAATATTTATTTTATTTATATCCCATCTTTATCCCAGAACGGGACCCAAGGCAACATACAGGCATTAAAAAATACAGTTTAAAAACAATACAAATATCAAACCACAACTAATTTTAAATACATTAAAAGCTCACTATCTCCTCTGAACGTGATAGCTAAGCAGGATCAGTCCTAGTTAGTACTTGGATGGAAGCCTGCCTATGAATACCAATTGCTGTATGCTATTTGTAAGTTGAAGGAACTGGCAAAACATCTCTGAGTATTCCTTGACTTAAAAATCCTATAACATTCATGACATCACCGTAAGTCAACATGTGACTTGAAGGCACAGAAATACACATAGTGAGTATGAAAACAGCTCCATTAAGACACATACATGAAGTAGAGAAACAAGAAAATGATGTGCATCCTTATGGAAAAAGAAATGTGTAACATGATCAATATATTGGATGTAAATGCAGCTTCAAATAAGTGTGCAGATTACTTGGCTATAATTATAAAACTAAGTTATATGTATTCTTATTTCCACTGTGAGCATTTTCCCACTAAAAAATATTTTGGCCATACCAATTGTATAATTTTCAGAGAAGTAGCTGTTTGTGGGCTGACTGTAGTAAATTTTAGAAAATTTGAATCTCCATAACCATTTGGAAAAACACTGGTCAAGGAAAGGCATTACTTTGTTAGAAGTCACAACCTTTCGAAAAGTGATGTTCACCAGCATTCATGCAAGGCAACTAGGTCTCTTAGCTGTTAAACTGATATACCTAGGTATGTCTTTGAGCTGCCAGGGACAAAGACATGGCAATGCACAAAAACATATATATTCAGCAGAATTTCAGAAATGTTCCTTTAGTTGCCCCCCAAAAATCTACTCTCCCTTAAAATATATTTGCCTTTAATTTGTACCCAAGAGAGAGAAAATAAACAGTCTTCTTTAAAAGTAAAAGAGTTAGTTTATTCACAAAACTTCATGTGTACAGCATGCAGGCACCTTTCTTATTTAATCCAGTTGCAATACAATTCTAAATAGTTTCTCTGTGCAAGTAACGCAGGGAGTCTTCTTTAGAATCAATAGTCTATAGTCCAAAGTATCTCTCTGTTTTGAGAGTCTAATAAGTGTCTAAGCATACATCGTACTGAAGTCTAAACTGTACTGTTCCTGCAGTCTTCTAGAAGCAAACATGCACTAACTTCTAAAAGCATACTAATGGCTTCTAGTCATGGGCCCGAAATTTGTCCCATTCGTTTCATTCGTATTTCTGTTTCATTCTGTCCATTTGGATGGCATGAAATGGAAAGGCCCCTCCTGAAACAAAAATGCAATTGATATGAAAGGCAAGCAGGCCTGCCTTCTGGATGGATTGCTTGGCGCCTGGCAGGGCCTGCAACTGAGCACAAGTAAGGCGCACTCCTTATTCGGTGTTTGGGTGCAGGCCCTGGAAGGCCCAAGTATTTAGGACCAAAGCCTGCACCCAAAGGCCCAAGTGCCAGGACCTATGGGTGCAGGCTTTGGGCCTAAGCACCCAGGCCTCACAGGGCCTGCAGCCAAGCGCCGAGTAAGGAGAGTTCCTTACTGAGTGCTCAGCTGTAGGCAACCCGGCACTTTGGAGCTATGTGCCCGGGCTTGGTAGGGCTGGCAGCTGAGTGCCGAGTAAGAAGTGCTCCTTACTCAGCACTCAGCTGAAGGCTCTGTCAGGCCCGGGCACGTAGGCCAGGAAACCTGCACCCATAGGCCCAAAGCACTGGGGCCTAAGTGTGCAGGCCGTGGGCCTATGCACCTTGGCCTGGCAGGGCCTGCAGCCAAGCACCGAGTAAGGAGCACTCCTTATTTGGTGGTCAGCTGCAGGCCCTGTGAGGCCAGGATACATAAGCCCAAAGCCTGCACCCATAGGCCCAACCTGGGTCTATTCGTCTGGGTCCGGCAGGGCCTGCAGCCGAGTGCTGAGTAAGGAGCACTCCTTACTCAGGGCTCAACTGCAGGCCCTGCCAGGCCCGAGCATATAGGCCGGGAAACCTGCACCTGTAGGCCCAAGGCACCCGGGCTTACGGGTGCAGGCTGTGGGCCTATGTACCAGGGCCTCACAAGGCCTGCAGCCGAGCACCGAGTAAGGAGCGCTCCTTACTCGGTGCTCAGTTACAGCTTCTGCCAGGCCCGGGCACATAGGCAGGGAAACGTGCACCCTTTGGCCCAAAGCACCTGGGCCTACAGGCACAGGCTCGGGGCCCCCACTGAAAGCCGGGACACGAAACGGCTTCTACTCTCTGCAAGACTCTAATAGCATCTATCTCGACTGAAGTCTAAAGCAAACACTGTTTTAAAATGGAGTCTTAGTCCTGAACATGTCCACACCTGATCACATGGTCTGCAGCCCCTCTCCTAAACAAAAAGTTAGGTAAAATTGCAAACCAACACACACATACAATACAGCAAGCAATTACTGGTATATACATAACAAACAACTAGTGGAGGCTTGAGAAGGTTGCTATTTCCAACAGTAAAGACATATGTATTGTCGAAGGCTTTCATGGCTGGAATCACTCAGTTCTTGTGGGTTTTTTCGGGCTATATGGCCATGTTCTAGAGGCATTTCTCCTGACGTTTCGCCTGCATCTATGGCAAGCATCCTCAGAGGTGATATTTTGTTTCTACCTTTTGTGAGCTAAGTATAACATGTTACCCTCTTGTTACAGTTGTGTAGAGGAGGAAATGTAAGTAGGAGGAAATAGACTCAAAAGGGAATGAAAAAACAAACTACCTTTCTAATGGTTCAATTACAGTTGAAATTGTGCCCTTTCACAGTTGAGCAATTGGCAATAATGCAATACTTCAGCATTGTTAATTTACCAAGAGATGTAGTTAATTGTCTTATTCAGCAGCATACAGAGGACATCACAAATATCTAAACCATTTCATAATGGAGTTGAGCAGGTTTCAACACCGTTTAGTCCGAATGTGACCTTTACCATTGTAGGTTTAATGTTGTTCAGTTAATATTTTCTTCTTCAGTTCTCTCATATTCATTAAATTATGCACATAATGCCAAACTCTAAAATGGCCCTAATCAGCTTTCTGCTCTTTTAGTGAGAATAGGCATTAAAGGTCAGCCCCATCTAGTTAAACAGTGTGCAGTTTAACTAGATGGGCGTTTATTTTCACTAGTATTGCCTGGTTAATATCCCCCAAATTCTTTAAAGCTGAATTCACCATAGGACACATCAACTGATCTGGGTGGTGGGGCCAGCTACTACTACCTGAAGCTGCTTACAGAATAAACAGAGAAATGGTGCTTCATCAAACTACAAATCCCAGACTTCAATAGCATTGAGGCACAGCAGTTAAAATGGTGTTGAACTGCATTCGTTTTACAGTGTAGATGCACCCTAAGCTGTCCATCTACAAGGAAAAACTAGAAAGCAGACTCAGAAAGCACAAGGATAACAGTCTTCATATGATTTAATTTTGTTTTAAGTTAGAAAAATAGTAACGTTATTATCTCTTCTTGTAGGCTATAAAAACAACCCTGGATTCCTTGGTCTTAGGAAGGGTGCTCAAGGTTAAAGCACTGTTTTTATTTACTTGGTGTTCAACACAAATATACTCAGTAAATCTGTGTGAACAAATATCCATAAGACAAGGTCAGCTGGAGTATTATACCAAGAGACGCCTTTGTTGACGTTTGCTTTATATGAAAGCAAAAGAAGAATACACATAGTAGGTTGTGGTTTCCCTTGACATTAAGTCTAGTTGTGTCCGACCCTGGTGGTGTGGTGGTGGTGCTCATCTCAATTTCTAAGCCAAAGAGCCGGCATTGTTCATAGACGCCTCCAAGGTCATGTGGCTGGCATGACTGCATGGAGTGCTGTTACCTTCCTGCCGAAGTGATACCTATTGATCTACTCACATTTGCATGTTTTCAAACTGCTAGGTTGGCAGAAGCTGGGGTTAACAGTGGGAGCTTACCCCGCTCCCCAGATTCAAACTGCTGATGTTTTGGTCAGCAAGTTCAGCGACTTAGCGGTTTAACCCGCTGCACTACTGAGCGCTCCTGCATGTAGTTTTCTATGAGCTTGTCTGGTGGCTCTGAAGACCATGGTTTGAATGATGGCTCAGCCATGGAAACCTGCTGCTTGGCCTTGGGCAAGTCACTCTCTCCCAGCATCAAAGAAAGGCAATGGCAAATTCCTCTCTGAATAAACATTTCCAAGAAAATTCCAACACCAATATTTCTGAAGCCCATTTTCTGGAAATGAATCTTATGAGGAGCGGCTTAAGGAGCTGGGCATGTTTAGCCTGAAGAAGAGAAGGCTGAGAGGAGATATGATAGCCATGTATAAATATGTGAGAGGAAGTCACAGGGAGGAGGGAGCAAGCTTGTTTTCTGCTTCCCTGGAGACTAGGACGCAGAACAATGGCTTCAAACTACAAGAAAGGAGATTCCATCTGAACATGAGGAAGAACTTTCCTGACTGTGAGAGCCGTTCAGCACTGGAACTCTCTGCCCTGGAGTGTGGCGGAGGCTCCTTATTTGGAAGCTTTTAAACAGGGGCTGGATGGCCATCTGTCAAGGGTGATTTGAATGCAATTTTCCTGCTTCTTGGCAGAGGGTTGGACTGGATGGCCCATGAGGTCTCTTCTAGCTCTTTGATTCTATGATTCTATGAATCCTGAATCAATGAAATGCGGCTGAGAGGGAAAGGGAAAGGGCCAGAGGCTGTCAGGAATGGTGGGAGTTGGAGTCCAAAACACCTGGAGGGCCCAAGTTGGCCCAGGCCTGCTATAGGCTATGCATGGGAGTCCAAAGGCTGCTGCACCTATCTGGTAAGTTTTCGTGGACTTTAGTCTGCAGGAGCTGCAACAGAAGAGAATGGGAAGTCCCTGGACCCTGCAGACTGGTTGTGTCCCCTCCAGTGGTGGGAAAGAGGGGGCCCCAGAGCTCTTTGCTCCCTTTGCCTGGAGGCTGCCAGCTCCTAAAAGGAAGGCGGGGAGGGAAGCGGCTCCTCCCGCTTGAGTCACGAGGCGAAAGAGGAGTCAACACTCTGGGGCTGCGGCGGAGTGCCTTGTTGTCGCTGCTGCTGCTGCTGCTGCTGTGCCATGGAGGAGAGCCTGGTGCGCGCCTTCGGGGGCTTGAGCCTCCAGCAGAGAAGGGGCCCCAACAGGGGGGCCCCTCGCCGCCGCCCCCGCTTCAACAAGAGCCTCTACCTTCTCCGAGGCCTCCCCGGGTCTGGGAAAAGCACCTTGGCCAGGTAAACAACTCCCCATCCCTCCTGGCTCCATCCACTCAGACAATGTTAGAAGAGGGACCAACCTGTGGGGTGCATCTACACTGCACAAATAATACATTTTGGCACCCTTTGAACTGACAGGGAATCGCATGAGTCGTAGTTTTAGAAAGTGTGATTTTTGTTTGGCCAAAAAGTGCTACCAAATTACAACTCCCAGGCTTCCCAAGCCTTGAGCCATGGCAGTTCAAGTGGGTACCAGTCTGTATTAATTCTGCAGTGTAGTAGAATTTTGCAACCTTGCAGAGGGTGCACCCCATTTGTGCAGAATGTTGGGAAGGGTGTGTGTGTGTGAAATCCGTTTGGAAGCTGCTCCTGAGATGCATCTCCAGGCATGGGCAAACTTGGGCCCTCCAGGTGTTTTGGACTTCAACTCCCACAATTCCTGACATACTCAGGCCCCTTCCTTTTTCCCTTCAGCAGCTGAGAGGGAAAAGGAAGGGACCTGAGGCTGTTAGGAATTGTGGGAGTTGAAGTCCAAAACACCTGGAGGGCCCAAGTTTGGGTAATAGTATGATAGCTGGGTTCGGAATGTCCGAGCGTTACGGAGATGCCGCATCATTCCTGCGGCAATCTGTATTTTGCTATTATGTGTACTGACTTGTTGTAAACCGCCTTGAGTCGCCAATTGGCTGAGAAAGGCGGTATACAAGTATAGTAAATAAAAAATAAAATAAATAATGTAAGCCAGGCTGGAGACAGATAATATAGAAGGAATGTAAGAATTCTTTAATGGTGAAACCTTAACCCTAACCCTGAACTATACCGTAAGCCTAAGCCTAACTCCTTACCCAAACCCTTACCCTAACCCTACCGCTAACCCAAACCCCAAACCTTACCCTAAACCGTACCCTAACCCCTAGCCATAACCCTAACCCAAACCCTAAACCTTACCCTAACCCTTATCCTAAGCATCCCCTCCTTTCTATCATAGAATTATAGAATCATACAGTTGGAAGAGACCTCATCGGCCATCCAGTCCAACCCCCTGCCAAGAAGCAGGAATATTGCATTCAAAGCACTCCTGACAGATGGCCATCTAGCCTCTGTTTAAAAACCTCCAAAGAAGGAGCCTCCACCACACTCCGGGGCAGAGTGTTCCACTGCTGAATGGCTCTCACAGTCAGGAAGTTCTTCCTCATGTTCAGATGGAATCTCCTTTCTTGTATCCTTCCTTTGCTCTCCCCACTCTCACTCCACCCCCTCTCTTCCCTTATTCACAGCAGCCTTTGCAGCATCTCCGTAATGCTCAGAGCTTCCGACCCAGCTATCATACTATCACCCAAGTTTGCCCATGCCTGCTATAGATCTATGGCCAAACTTTCATTTCCATCAGTGCATCTGAAGAAGTGAACTGATAGCTGAGGGAGGAAAGGAAAGGCTGTTGGGAATTGTGGGAGTTAAAATCCAAAACACCTGGAAGGCTGAAGTTTGCCCATGCCAGTTGTAGCATTAATGCAGTTTGGCACCATTTTTACTGCCATGGCTCAGTGCTGCAGAATCATGGAAGCTGAAGTTTTGCAAGGTCTTTACATTTCTTTCCAAGAGTACAGGTGCTTCACCAAATTACAAATCCTAGGATTTCGTGGCATTGATCTGCATTCATTCAACAGTGTGTAAATGCACCCCAGGTCAGGGTTTCTCAGGTTGGGAAACTTTGAATACGTCCACTATTAATTCCATCTCCACTGTAGAATTCAATGCAGTTTGACAGCATTTTAACTACATGGCTCAATGCTGTGGACTCGAGGGAGTTACAGTTCTATAAGGTCTTTAGTCATCTCTGCTAAAATACTGATGCCTCACCAAATTATAGCTCACAGGAATCATAGAGGTGGAAGAGACGACTTGAGCCCCTGCCAAGAAGCAGGAAAATCGTATTCAAAGCACCCCCGACAGATGACCATCCAGCCTCTGTTTAAAAGCCTCTAAAGAAGGAGCCTCCACCACACTCTGGGGCAGAGAGTTCCACTGCTGAACAGCTCTCACAGTTAGGAAGTTCTTCCTAATGTTCAGGTGGAATCTCCTTTCCTGTAGTTTGAAGACATTGTTCCGCATCCTAGTCTCCAAGGCAGCAGAAAACAAGATTTCTCCTTCCTCCTTATGATATCACTTCACATATTTATACAGGGTGAGGCAGCATAACTTCCTTTTTTAAAAACTTAATAAAACCCATTGTATGAATCAGAAAAAAAATTATAATGTAGGCGCATACCTAAAGTTTTGTTTTATGTAGTTTTGAAGATCAAATTAGGTAGGTGACGTCTCCCATTCTGCATTCTCCATACACTCCATACACTGAGTAAACCGATTTCTGGCATTTGTCATGACTCTTGCCAGCATACAGGGGCGGCTCAACCCATTACGCAAAGTAAGCATTTGCAGTATAGGTGATTTTGCCCAGGGGCGCTCTTGAGGCACCCTTGGGGGAAAATAGACCTTGACATATGCGAGTTGTAATTACTGGGATGTATAGTTCACCTAAACTCAAAGAGCATTCTGAACTCCACCAATGATGGAATTGAACCAAATATGGCACACAGAACTCCCATGACGAACAGAAAATATATATCAGTGATAGGAGCCCCCGGTGGCGCAGTGGGTTAAATCCCTGTGCTGGCAGGACTGAAGACCGACAGGTCGCAGGTTCGAATCCGGGGAGAGGCAGATGAGCTCCCTCTATCAGCTCCAGCTCCTCATGCGGGGACATGAGAGAAGCCTCCCACAAGGATGATAAAACATCAAATCATCCAGGTGTCCCCTGGGCAACGTCCTTGCAGACGGCCAATTCTCTCACACCAGGAGTCACTCCTGACCCGACAAAAAAAAAAGTGATTGGTTTGGGGAGGGGGGCAAAATACTGTTTACTTACCGTTGAAAATTACCTAGGGCTGCCTCTGCCAGCATAGCAGGCGTTATGCTGGCAATTTCTTCCAGGATGTTGGTCTTCAAATCTTGTAGGGTACTTGGACAGTTCACATAATCACGGGATTTCAAAAAACCCCATCGGAAAAAATCACAAGGGGTCAAATCTGGAGAGCGGGCCGGCCAATCCAAATCTGCTCGAAAAGTAGGCCTCAACAGCAAAAGCACACTCCTCACTGTTCCAACGTATGATGGCAACTAAACTGTGTCAGGACAAACCTTTATACGCCCGCCTCTCGAACGAGACCACTAGCGCTCTGCTACGTCTTCAACTGACAGAATGGCGCGTATTTTAAAAAAGGAAGCTGTGCTGCTTCACCTTGTACATGGCCATCATGTCTCCTCTCAGCCCTCTCTTCAGCAGGCTAAACATGCCCACCTCTTTAAGCCGCTACTCATAGGGCTTGTTCTCCAAACCCTTGATCATTTTCGTCGCCCTCCTCTGGACACATTCCAGCTTGTCAACATCCCCCTTAAATTGTGGTGTCCAGAATTGGACACAGTATTCCAGGTGTGGTCTGACCAAGGCAGAATAGAGGGTAGCATGACTTCCCTGGATCTAGACACTAGACTCCTATTTATGCAGTATGTATTAATGCAGAATCCATAGCATTGAGCCAGGGCTGGTTGAGTGGTGTCAAACTGCATTGTATCTATAGTGGAGATGCACCCATCGATTAAAATGTCCCAAAGGGAAAAGTCTAGGGAGTTTGAACTCTCTCCTGCTTCATGTTGCTAGAAGGGAGGGGGAGGTTTCAGTTTTTTTTCTTTCTATCCAGGCTGCTGTACTTTTAGAAAGTAGATATAAACAAAGTGTGACATCACTCTGTGTGTATATTGAAAAACACCTAATCTGCAGAATTTCTCAGTGCCACGCAACTCTCCTAAGAAGTAGAGGCAACCCTGTCTGTACTTATCAGATCAGGTGGTCAAGAGAAAACTGATTAGTTCAGGAAACCTCAGGGTGCATCTACAGTTTACACTGTAGAATTAACACAGTTTGATACCACTTTAACTGATATGGCTTAATGCTATGAAATCCTGGGATTTGTAGGTTGGTAAGGCACCAGCACTCTTTGTGAATGAAGGCTGAAGACCTTGTAAAATTTCAACTCCCAGGATTTCATGGCATTGAGCCAAGGCATGTAAAAGTGGTACCAAACTGTATTAATTCTACAGTGTGGATGCACCCTCAGAGCACAAACGGAAGAGTGGTTAGAACTGCCATTTCCTTAGATATTGTATGGGTAGTATGTATGAGCCACATTGCTCTGTTACAGGAAAAAGAATAGGAAGTTTTGTCACATTTTTTAAAACAATAGCAACAGAGTTTTAAAACAAAGCTCCTTGCAACCTTTCTTTCTGTTTTGCTTCCAATGAAGCCAACCCCGAACGTTGAGGCTTTAGTGGTTTCAGTACTGGGCTAGGACTATGGGAGAGGAGAGGTCACATTTTTGTTCAGTGATGGAAGCTTGTTGGGTGACCTTAGGCAAATCATATTCTCTCAGCCTCAGAGGAAGGCAATGCTACACATCCAGGCTTAGTACAGCAGGCTAAACTGCTGTGCTGCAGAAAAATCCTACCGATCGAAAGGTTGGCAGTTTGAGCCCCAGCTCACCTGCCCACCTAGCAGGTTGAAAGCAGAAAACCGAGTAGATAAAATAGGTACTGCTTTTAGCGGGGAGGTAATAAAGGCACCCTTAAGGACATTGATCGGAGAAAAGCTCCTCAATATGGAAGATGGAGCAACAGCACCCACTGTGGCTTTAGTTGAGCACAGCCTCCAAAATGCTGGAAATGGAATAAACTCCTTTTATCTCTGTTTCTGTTGCCTGTCCTTGTTAATTGTATAATCGGCATTGAATATTTGCCATATATGTGTTCTTTAAGACAATCTGAGTCCCATTAGGGGTGAGAAGGGCAAGGTATAAATACTGTAAATAAATAAATAAATAAAATCTTACCAAGTGCTGTAAATCCAAGTTGGCACAGTAACATCAAGGAGTGGCTATTTAAATCTTCTTACTATATGTCCCCAG